CCAACCGTAATTAAGAGTGGAGGAAACAAGACATCAAAAACATTAAGTTTAGATTCTACATTGAGGGACAAATTTGTTACAAATTCTTAACGCATTATACATACATTTACGACCTTATTCAGCAATAGTAACTTGAAGGAGGGGCGGTACTTATTTCGAGCAATAGTGTTAACCACTAAAACATCTAATTTGTACTTCCTAAATTCTCAGATTAAGTTAATCTACGTGACGCCTTATCACAAGAAGAAGAAGAAGAAGAACATCTAATATTACTACACAGCGGGATAGGTCCAAACAAACCAACTGTAGCAAATTCCAGGGTCCCTGTGACTGAAACCACAGGTAGTAACTTTGTGGTCTTTACCTTCGAAATAACAATAGCCTCAGGTAAAAGGGGTGACCACGCGTTAAAACAATAATAAAGGTAAGGCCAGGTATCACTATTGTTTGTACAATATACTTTTCAAAATGACGGTCAAGAGAAAGCGATAAAAAAAAACTTTGGTTCAGGGCTATTTTAAGGAGGGAATGACATAAGTAATTCAGATTTCAGATTACGTTTTCATCACTCGGACAAATGAAAATGTGTAACTTGAGGTTGTTCAAGTTCTTTATTTGCTGAAGTTTTACAACCTATGGCAAGACCACTCACACTAACTCGCACACATCATCCTCATCATCTTCATTATCCTCATCTTCTTCATTATCCTCCTCATCCTCATCATCTCATCTCATCATCATCATCATCATCATCATCATCATCATCATCATCATCACCATTATCATCATCATTATCAACCATTATTCACCCTCATTCACCCATACAAGACTTATCAATATAATGGTATATTACATAATTTGTATACAATAAACTGATGTACAACATGTATCTTAACATGACCTGTTCTATTGATGACCTCTTAATAAATCTGCTCTACGTTTAAACGCTAGTGATAAATACTTTCCTAAATTATTAAGTTCTTTTGTGTTTTCGATTTTGAGTAATTGAACAAATTTATACATGCTAGGCCTTTTGAAATAATATTTCTTTATGTATTTAGACCGGAGGTCTGAATAGCGATTACATTTAATTATAAAATGAGATTCATCTTCTATATCATTTTCATTACATAAAATACATTTTCTTTCTTCTCTAGGTATATCTCTGTAACGGCCACGTTCAATAGACAGGTCATGCGCACATAAACGTATCTTAGAAATATGTTTTAAATAATTAAAATTAATTGCCTTATGAAGATATGGTTGCAATTTAATACTTTCCACCAAATGCTGATATAATACTCCTTTAGAAGAAGAATGAACTTTCTCAAGAAAATCTTGCTGAAAACTATCACATAATCGCTGCTTATATATTTCACTACAATGATTAATACTATCAGTCACAAACATGTATCCAAGGCCGACTCTTGAAAGATCATGTTTTAAATTAAGGATCCAGGGGTCTTTGTTTTCAACCATATCAACATAACAAGCTTTCAGCACACAGTTATCAGAACGTTGTAATTAAATCCAATACTTATTTTTTTTAACTTTTCTTTACAGCTCTAAATGAGATCTTCCAAATTCAATATAAAGAAATGCAGAGTTTGTAGATTTTCTTAATCCTAATTATGATTTTAAAAATCCAATATGCAATTTTTCTATTTCGGGTGCTTTATGAAATCCCCAAATTTCTGAACCTTACATTAAAATACTATTGACAAACGTGTCAAAATCAGCAAGACGAGATTCTATATTAAAATAATTCTTTTTTCATACATTATTTATGGCAAATAGTGCTTTTCGACCTTGTTCTGCTATTTTTTTTGTGTGTTTTTGTAAATTTTCCATTATAATTTAAAGTGAGACCAAGATAATTAAACTCATCAGCTACTTCAATCGCATCATTATTATAAAACCATTTTTCTTTTGCTCTTATTAAACCTCTATTTCTAAAGATTACTATTTTCGTTTTATCTATATTTAAAGTTAAGCTCCATTTTCTACAGTAATCTGCTAGTGAATCTAACATTTTCTGCAAGTCTTCTGGTGTTTCCGATAGTATGACCATATCGTCTGCATACATAAGTAAAAATAAAATAATCGTTTGAATTTCTAGTGATAAGCAATTATTTTTTATAGGTACAGTACGGAATTAGATTATCTAAGTCCGTGAGTACAGCAAAAAATATGATTAAGCGTAACAGGGTGCATAGAATGTATACAGGTATGTTGTGTTGTAAGATGTATAGATAAGATACCTATAACTTACGCTCCGGCTTCAATATCATTCATATAAATACTGATAATAATTATCAAATAATACCACTAAATAGAATATTATAGGAATTATACCTGTTTGAGATATAAGTAGAGAAGAAGGATTAAAAAACCAATAATCACACGGAGTTCGCTTGCAGCATTTTAGTTGGATTTGTAAGATAATACAGGAATAATACTCTATGCAAACACATCACTTCACCTGTTTTATAAATATGATGATATTCATAATGAATATTTTTCAAACACAAGTTTCATATTTTATCTCCTTTTGAACATTTGCTATAGCCTAGTTTAAATAAAAACAAGCAATTACACGTACGTTATTTAGTTTGGGTTGTTAATTATTTTTCGACAAATTGATTAAATATTTTTTAGCAAGAAATTCAGAATTTGAGACTAAAAAAATAAACTACCCACTAGACGTATTTATATGTATTGTTGATGTCGAAGAACCATTTTTCAAGACTACTCCCGTAACTTCACCTTGAAAATATAGAAATTAAACAAAAAAGATAATTGAGAAACCACCAACATAAAATATACTTTTAATCTGATCAATTGATAAAAAGGAATGTGTTTAGGCGTCGTGTAGATTAACTGATTAGATGTTAAATGTAATGTACTGTTGAGTTACAAACGGATGCCATTTAAAGTTCAATTCCATTTCAAAACGAATTATCAATATTCTCCAAAATTCGGCGGACAAATCATTATTCCAAATTATCAGAGTTAGGGTCAGAGACCGACACGTTTCCGCGAGTAAGTACATCTAAATTGAAGTCCGTTATTGGTCTACTATGAACGGCGTTTTAGGAGCGTGTTTAATTAAACTGTGTGTGTACGTTTGCGTTGAATTTCCGTTGCGTTTCCGTTGCGTTTGCGTTGACTTTCCGTTGCGTTTCCGTTGCTTTTGCGTTCCGTTTGCGTTGCGTTTGCGTTTAAACGGACAAGAAAAACGGTCCAGGGTCTGTACATGGGGTAGTCACAAGGTACTGGCCGTAGGTCGTTGGTTTTTCTCCGGGATCTCCGGCTTTCCACCACCACCAAAAATCTGGCATGTTCTTAAATGACCATAGCTGTAAATAGGACGTAAAACGCAACCAAACCAAACCACACCAAACATTGAAACAGGTTTCATTTTTTTATTTAAAAAGCGCATAAACACAAAATATGTGTTTAAATTGTACATTTGATAAATATATCAGACTTTCAACTAAAAATATAACGTAAATATATACACAAATGTATATCTGCCATTTGTAAGCGTTACATATTATTGTTAGTATTATGTCAATTCGGGAGCGCAGTAATTTCCCATGAAAATGTAAAAGCCAACATGTAATAACGGTACACTCTTAACAATATTTCCAAAAAAACACACAATCACAATTAAGTTACATAACGTACCAAAATAAGATCATACATTGCCGTAAATTGCTTATGTTGCCAGATTGTGAATCCAGGTGTCACGCTCACATACGCTCTCTGCACCCCTGGAATATGTCATAGGAAAAATGAAGGCACGAATATAGCTGTTTGATTGGTCTCGCGTAAAAAACCACCTGACCAATCGCTAGGCTGATACCTGTCCTTTGAAGATAACAAAGGAGCGGCACCCGACCGGCCTGTCAATTTTTACCGTTACGTGACCTCAGTATTCATTTTATGTACATCAAATGATCGAACTAGTCTCATCCACATGGTACCCCACACTGAGCCTTCAATTTTGCTTTGACATATTCCAGATGTGCAGGGAGCGAAAGTGAGCATAACCCCTGGAGTATCGAGGATAAGCTGACCATGGTACATTTTGTACCTTCACATTATACAATTATGATCCATTTATGAGGGACACAAGCATATTTGTTTACATCATACACAATAAAAAAAGTTCCTGAAATGAAAGCAGAGTAGTAAGCACAATAATATTATAGATATATAAATATAAATATAAAACCTATTTTATCACAAAATGACCAAGTTCTTCCAATAATGCCTTACATAGATATCTAAAATAAGTTTAAAAGAAAAAAGAAAAAAAAAAAAGGTAAATAAAAATACAGGACAAAGATCTTGGTCATTTTTGGTTTTTATTTTGAAGACAACTGGACACTTATTATATGCTAAGTAAATAGTACATTGTAGTTCATTTATTTTTGACAAAAAAAAGTCAACGCCAACCAGAAACGCATATTAAAAAAGCGCCTAATTTGCTGTTGAAAAAACTACCTACATGATAAAACTAACATGAAATAAACTTGATATACAGTTTGACGTCACTTGATTTATCCCATCCAATCAATTACGCAGTCTCATGTTAGTACATCAAAGACTTTACGTAGTTTATTTGATCATCTATCTATAGCTACAACTGTTTGGGAGTCCACCTATCTATATCTACAACTGTTTGAGAGTCCACCTATCTATATCTACAACTGTTTGGGATGCCACCTATCTATATCTACAACTGTTTGAGAGTCCACCTATCTATATCTACAACTGTTTGAGAGTCCACCTATCTATATCTACAACTGTTTGAGAGTCCACCTATCTATATCTACAACTGTTTTCGAGGCCACCTATCTATATCTACGACTGTTTTGGAGGCCACCTATCTATATCCACAACTGTTTGGGATGCCACATATCTATATCCACAACTGTTTGAGAGTCCACCTATCTATATTTACAACTGTTTGAGAGTCCACCTATCTATATCCACAACTGTTTGAGAGTCCACCTATCTATATTTACAACTGTTTGAGAGTCCACCTATCTATATCTCCAACTGTTTGAGAGTCCACCTATCTATATTTACAACTGTTTGAGAGTCCACCTATCTATATTTACAACTGTTTGAGAGTCCACCTATCTATATCCACAACTGTTTGAGAGTCCACCTATCTATATCTCCAACTGTTTGAGAGTCCACCTATCTATATCCACAACTGTTTGAGAGTCCACCTATCTATATCTACCACTGTTTGAGAGGCCACCTATCTATATCTACAACTGTTTGGGATGCCACATATCTATATCCACAACTGTTTGAGAGTCCACCTATCTATATCTACCACTGTTTGGGATGCCACCTATCTATATCTACAACTGTTTTGGCGGCCACCTATCTATATCTACCACTGTTTGAGAGTCCACCTATCTATATCTACAACTGTTTTCGAGGCCACCTATCTATATCTACAACTGTTTGGGAGGCCACCTATCTATATCTACCACTGTTTGGAAGGCCACCTATCCATAGCTACCCCTGTTAGCGAGGCCACCCATCCATAGCTACCACTGTTAGCGAGGCCACCCATTCATAGCTACCACTGTTTGAGAGGCCACTATCTTTATCTACCATTGTTTGGGAGGCCACCTATACATAGCTACCACTGTTTGAGAGGCCACCGTTTTTGTATAGCTACCACTATTTTTGAAGCCACATATCTACATATACCAGTGTTTTAGAGGCCACCTATCTATATCTACCACTATTTGGGAGGCCATCTATATATATCTACCATTGTTTTAAGGCCACCTTATTATTTCTATAACTGTTCGGGAGTCCACTTATCTGCAATGGATAACTACCACTGTTTGGGTGGTCACCTTTTTATAGCTACCACTGTCAAAGGTCACGTGTCTATACGCAGTTACCACTTTTAAAGGAAACCTCCCTATAGCTACCACTGTTTCTAAAACCACCGATTTATATTTACTAATATATGGGACGCCACTTCTTTATAACTGCTATAGATTATAATAATTTTTGATATATATACATTTACTGTACCACTGGTTTGCCAACCTTCTTATTAGGACAGACCCGTTGTTACAGACAGAGGTAGTTAATGCTTGATTAATTGGTCGCTGTATATATAACGTCTTCGCCATATGATGATGGTTTCCTAAACAGTTAACGTGTCGCACTTGATCCGATGTTTAAGGATGTTCTCCTTAATCTGACAAACAATAATTACACAGAATTTCCAGAGATTCAGATTAATAAAGACTTTCGGAATTTTTCACGGTCGCCATCTCGTTGGTTAGAAAGCACTGCTCTTAAGAGGTATAAAGTGTCTACCGATAATGATTATCGTTGTGTATAATGTGTTTATACTAGTATTTTGTTAAAAATGCGTTTAAAATGAAAACATTCTACAGATAAGAGATTTGTTTTGTTGTCTTCTATCACATATATCTGAAAGGTATATTTTGTATATGTAGACTGAACCCGTACAATCGGGGCACCTGCCGTTATCGAATGAAAGTATTGTTACCGTGTTATTCGCGAAGACAATAAAATGTCATCTGTCGATAGAATTTTCTCTTTAACAATAGTTTGTCAAGAGATATTAAGAGTCACAACTTAATAGTTTATTTTTCGGGGTTTTTTTTGGTCCCCTTGCGAGTTTTAACATAACATGTATTCGTCGGTGTTCGGATGGAATTGGGAAACATAAGCCGGAACGTCGTAAGACGAATTGTTTATTTCAAGTTCTGAACATAATCTGATCAGTTCAGACTTTGCCGTTTCCAAATCATCGGCCACCACGGCGAAATTAGAGAAAGGTTCTTCAACATCTTCGTCTGCGTCTAAACTTTCCTCTGCGTCCAACTCATTGTAACGAACTTTGTGAGATTCGTGCAGACTGTAAATTTTGTTCGTGATATCGACACGGGACAGTGTCTCCCTGTGGGCCGAGGGAACGCACATAACTCCCATGATATGGCAACGAGGCGTAATGGTTCGAGGCAAGATTGGCTTAACGCCGGCCGCGATCATGAAAGAGCAGAGAAGTAAATCAACATCATAGCAAGCTTTGATCCAATCTCTGAGGTAGAACCCACCCATCCGGGCATTTATCTCCAACAGTTTTGGACCTGTTGGCGTCATAATCATTTCGACGTTAAAAACACCGTTTGTGAGTCCGACTTCTGTACAACATTGGTATGCCGCTGTTGTCAGCTGTCCAGATTTGTCCGGTGGGAGGCATGTCGGCATAGAGGCTGCTGTTTCTGTAAAATTTCCTTGTCTAGTTGGGCCATTATCGGAAATAAAAGCGGCGATGAGTCGTCGTTTGTAGATGATGATATCGATGTCGTGTTCTGTTCCTTCGTAGTACTCCATCAGCATCATGTCATTTCCGTATCCTAGACCTATGCCGGGATGATCCGACTCCTGCCGAAGACAACTTCGGATTTTTTCGTACTCGATTCGGCACTCTTCTTCGTCATTGACAAGCTTGACCCCTATGGCACTGGAACCGTATTCAAGTTTCAGGACGGCAGGGAATCTAACATGCGTTGCGGCCGTGTCAATTTCCTCGGATGTTCGTATAGCAGCTGATCTTCCTGTATACAAATACGTTCGAGGGAAGTGTGGAATATCAGCTGTTCGCTGCCTTAATAACTGCTGAGTGGAACTCTTCTTTTTGGCGATCAGCGCCCCCTGTAGACTGGCACCACTGTAATGCATTTTGTCGCAAATATTGGCCGCAAGGGGGCCACAGTCTTCCCAGAATGTACAGCATCCGTCGACGACGTCAATGTCGGACGAAACAAGTTGGATGATATTTCTTGCGTGCCGGTCGTCCTGCATATGGTCGGAGAAATCATATTGAATGAATTTGTCCACGTCCCTGGACACAAAGGAATCTGGAACATCGTTCACGAGAAAAACCTGAAAAATTAAATAGAGACAATAATATGACTGACACGCAGTAATATATAAGACCAACCTACACTTAACAGAACGTTAAAATAAGCATTTATATTTAAGAAATAATCAACGTACATGTATGTGCATGTATTATGGTGGATAGTTATATGAATATGTGCTAATTCCCAGCCCTAATTTGAGTAGCGACGTCATATGACGAGTCTGTAAATCTGTTACAGACCTCGTTCTATGAATAAAAAAGTGTTACAGATATCGATCTATAAATATAAAAGTGTTACAGAGAGCTACTAAATATATAATAGACCTAGGAAATTTTCCAGCCAATCTGTTTATGTGCTGCAAATCACAATGCCGGATTCAACTAAACATGAATTATCTCATCAATTTCTGAACTATGTGATGCTATTGATGATGTTGATTGTGCAAATGATATTTAATTGAAATGAAATCTCATACGAATTGAATCTGAAATTGTGTTTGTCATTTTGTGGTTGAAGTCCTTCACTCTGTGATTCCAAAATGGTCCATGCCATCCATGTTTATGACATGAAAACTGTAGTACAACACCGAGGCCGAATATTGTTCAGACCAGGTCCGTAAATCAGGGATAAACCTCATCGGAAGTCCATAATTGTTTATTATATAATGAAGGTGAGAAAATGTGGGAAAAGGGTTATCAACGAAGTCCGCTTCGTTAATTATAACGAAGTAACGAATTATAACATTAATTATTTTTCTGCGGCCTTGGTTTATTATTTTTCCAACATTTTCGAATCCCGAGTTTTCTATTCCACCATGATATATAAATCATGTGTATCCTCTGGTCTCTGTCATAATCTCATACCTTGATTCCGTAATCCCGCGCTGCTTTCCAGATAAAACGTTTACTGAAGCCACCCGCACCAATGACAAGGATTGTCTTCCCCTGCATTATGTGGCGCTGGGATCGATGCGCCATATTTTCCACGAGGGGGCCAACTGAACATCCTTGGGTTTCATGGTTCATTGATTCGAACAGCTGACAGTTAATTGTGCAGTCGTGACTGTTGACCTCTATGGCAATCGGGGTCAAAATACCGCCTTTCTCTCCGAGAACGAAATCTAGTCCTGAAAAGGGGAGATAATTAAGTTAAATAGGTCATTCATGTAAAAAATGTTAACACGACTTAGTTTTCGAGCATGGTTTCCCTTAATAAGCGTCTATATAAATGTATATATTATATACATGTACTCAGAGACGTATACGTGTTATATACGTCTCTGATGTACTTGACATGATATTTGCTGTCTTGTGATTAAATAATATTTTGTTTTGCTTGATTAAGTTATGTACTAGGCCAGAACAGCCGAAAGTTTTGAGACCATAATCTCGATCAGGTGACTGAATGATTAACCAACCAGGGTAACTAACAAATGGTTGTTAGAAATCGAAATATCATGACTAATAAGTAAAAAGTTAAGAGGAATCAATCTCAATGTTTCGAAATCAAATATGGTGGCGCTCGATCGTATCTAATTTGTTGATGCTAAAAACACGCGTTTCCGTTGGTCAACACCTTCGTAGTGTGTGTATTATCTCTTGTTGTAAATGAGGTTTGAAAAGATTGGTCTCATATTTTCCTTATATGTTTTACTGGTTGATTTTAAGGATATCTATTTCATATATTTTTTAAATGTTTCCAAACGTTTTATCCACATCTTTGTTACAATATCATACGCCATCTGATACAACAAGCATTCAAATGTTCAATAGTGGCGTCACCTGAACATGTTTCTTATCCGACAGAATGCATTTGACTGGGAAATCTTTAAAAGTAGGTACTGCGTGGAATTTTCAAATCTATGTCCCTTTCAATCCCTGTTTTCTTTTATAACAAAAGTATCTAAATGTATAACGATATTTACCCACAATATCTGTTTGACCCCCAACACCTCCACGTTCTAGTGACGTCATTTCCTTTTCTATTTTAATCATCTCTCCGAGAAGATCCTCTGATATTTTTGAAGTCCTGTCACGAAGACGCTTTCTCTCCTCGGCGTTTGTAACTCCACATGAGCGCAGCGTCGTGTCAAACGTTTGAGGGATCGTGTTATCGCCATTGATAGGCTTGTCCCTCGGTCCCACACCACATATAAGGGTAGTTGTTATCGGACGGTCACCGAATCCTCTACACACCGTCGACCTCAACCGGAACGAGAGCTCAGCTTCAATTTAAAAACATGACATTTAGAAACTGACTTTGTCGTTATACGTATCAAAATCTGACTTAAACAAAGCATGGATAAAAAGGAAAATCGCAGAAGGAATAATTATGGCGTGCCTACTGTTTAATTGTACTCTTGATAAACTTACAGTGGGTTAATATCACAGAGAGAACCAGTTGTGCTTTACGTTATCATGAGAAAAAGAATTTTACCGTCCATAAATTTACAACTCGTGTTTTTAAAGTATACAAATCACTATAGAAATGTATAACATACATGTACGAAATCGTGTCATACATTTTTGCTTAAATCGATATATCCTGCACTTCAGACCTCTCTCCCTTCCTCTCCCTTCAGCATTGTAAGCTTTTTAACAACTCGTCCACCGATGAATGGTACAGGAATTTAAGCTTCTTTATATATATGACAGATACGAACGAAATATGATACACGACAGGTCGCTCGGTGTTGTCATACAATGAAGGGCAAATTTATCACGAGGGAAGTGTGATAGGGTCAGCGGGATTTCGTCTTCACATTTTTTTCTCGATAACACTATCTCTGGACGTCGTAACACATCACAATGTAACTAAAATTACCCACGTTATCAGCAAAATGGCAAAGGTTTGAAGACCTTTTTAGCATTATCAGGACTTCAGTAAATTCCAAGCGTATGCAATCAATTATAATGCCTGATTTGTTTGAGATATATTATCTAGTCGTTTCTTCATGAAAAATGTGGGTTTGAAGTAAATCGAAGTCTAGTGTGTTCGCATGGGTAAAAAAAACCCAGTGAAAATGAATAGTGTAGCTAAATCATTTTTATTTAATGTTAAACAATCATCACATTCAGGTCACAACCAGACTGCAAGGCAGATTTAACAGCCCAACAAATCAGGTTGATTCTTATCTCTAATACTTACGGATCATGTCAGAACGTTTACCTTCAGACGTATGTACATAGACTTATTACTCAAAATTTGTGATATCTTTTAAAACTGGGTCCAGATGTAGTCTTAATTGCCATGTCGGTATGAATTCGAATGAGTATATACGCAATCCGTGAATCGCATTAGAAAGTGGTGCATGACCTATATCTGCAGTGTCTTGTATGTAAGGTATTTGTGTTCTGATCGGTACGACGTTTACAATCATACCTACCGCGCGTTAAATCTGTGCCCCAACACGGGAGTACACGCAAGGCGCAGTTGAATCATTGCTTAGCGCAAAGGACTTTGGGCGTTATGGGTAATGTTTTGCGCCATAAAATGTAAACATTTCAATTTGAATTTACCGACCAAACTCTGTTATACACATCATATTGGCTAATTGGGACTATCTTCCTCGGTGCATATATTTTCCAATGCGCATGCGTAGATGCCCTACCATAGCAACAAAACATTGCGTTGCTATGCAGAAAAAAGACAAAATATGGTGTCTTTGGACAGTTAGCATGCAAAAAAGAAAGCCTCAGCATGTGACAAACTAACAATTATTTTTACTTATGAACACTGTTATAACAATGTTTAAGTATGTCAAATATATATTTGTTTGTTGCATGCGGAGGCTTTTAAAAATTGTTTAGTTTCTTTCCTTCAAAATGGCCGATTTCCATCTAAATAGCGCACAACAGACGACATTCACGCAATTTGTGATGAAATTGCGGGTTTATGTCTGTCTTTGTATTGCCATATCTCCTAAACCAGTAGTCAAATGAATTAGAAATGTATATAACAACTTATTCTAAATCCCCGCTGAGGCCGGATGTGACCCTTAACACTACTGAGGGTAATGGTACTACATGACAAACACTACTGATGGTACTGGTACTACAGGACAAACACTACTGATGGTACTGGTACAACAGGACAAACACTACTGATGGTACTGGTACTACAGGACAAACACTACTGATGGTACTGGTACTACAGGACAAACACTACTGATGGTACTGGTACAACAGGACAAACACTACTGATGGTACTGGTACAACAGGACAAACACTACTGATGGTACTGGTACTACAGGACAAACACTACTGATGGTACTGGTACTACAGGACAAACACTACTGATGGTACTGGTACAACAGGACAAACACTACTGATGGTACTGGTACAACAGGACAAACACTACTGATGGTACTGGTACTACAGGACAAACACTACTGATGGTACTGGTACTACAGGACAAACACTACTGATGGTACTGGTACAACAGGACAAACACTACTGATGGTACTGGTACAACAGGACAAACACTACTGATGGTACTGGTACTACAGGACAAACACTACTGATGGTACTGGTACTACAGGACAAACACTACTGATGGTACTGGTACAACTTGTTCACAGATCGTACCAAGATAACTCCCCGATAACTTTAGTTTTTGTGTATCTTTAAAATGCAACCATAAAGAGTTAAAGCTTCTCAGATGATAGCAAATACTTCATTTGAGTGAAAGTGTACCTAGTGCACAGTATATTGACCTTGAGGTTAAAAATAAGTGATTAAATAATTATTAAGACAACCACCTTGTGAGCAACTGCGCCCTAAAAATTAGCTTTCGGTAATCTATTTGGATAATATTCTACAAATAATATCTTGTTTATTTATTTATGTCGACTAATTTAAAGTCATAGAATTCATAGACTTATTAAATAAGAAGAGGACTACCGGTGCGTCACACTGAGCAATAATTATATAAAATGGCGGCATCACGTGACACCACTTGCGATCAGGTTGCTATGGCAGCAAATGAAATGTGATTGGCTCACAAAGTAAACTTGCAAATATATTGTAGACACAGGAACATGATGATTTTCCTGATGATTATTCATAACATGATAAATGGAGTTATTTACGCATGATTTTAGCAACAAATATGAAGGAGAAATGGACAGTATTAATAGATTCATATGCTAGGAATTCAAAATGACCAACTAATTGTTTGAAAATTAAGTTTTTTTAGAGAAAAATAAAAAATAAAATGAAATGTTTTATTCTAGGTTTAACAGTACTTTTAAAAACCAGACCATTGTCCGTTTTTATTTGTTTAACACCTAATCTTCCCCGATACGACTAAGGAGGAAGCCGGAAGATATCCCACACACTTGTGTTTATCACAGGCTGATTGACAGGAGGTCTGCTTATGTTTGCACATACTATTCATACCAGCCACTTGATAGACCAAATGCTTGTCTACAATGACTGATTTAGACAGTATCTTTGTCTATTTGGGTGTGACAGATACCAGTGTCTACAGATCATTGTTTTCCTTATTTGCCTACATACAACACGAAAGTGTCTTAAATCTTTTGAAATTGATTGAATGATCCAACGTTATGCAACATAGGATCAAATAATTTGAGAAATAGAGGGAAGATAATATTGTTTACTTTCTTCTTTGATGATGGTGTTTGTTGGCTCTTCAAACGACTGTCGTTGTCATATACAAACAAGGCAGTAATTGATATTATTTAATCAATATTTAAGCGTAATGGCATTGCATAACAAACGGTCGCTAGTGATATTTATAAAAGTGTTGATCATTTCATATAGGCATGTGATCGTTTCTTTTATTGCTCATGATATTCATCCAGTGATACAATAAATGATAACATTTCACAAATTCCTTCATAGAAAAGGTAGATCAATGAAAGGTATGTAACACGTATTTATGGATTTCTCCCTACATTTCTATTTTTTATTTTTGTAACCGTTTGTTTTCAAGACAGCAGTTATGAGAAAGAGTTGACCTGTTTGCACATATATATTACAGCAAGGTACATGAGATGGGGAGGGGAGTGTTATACAAGTTACAAAGAAAACAGGCATATCCAGCTTTTAGCCGTAAGGAATTATATATAAAATCGGCCCCTTGCATATGTACATGCATTTATAAACAATTATTAATGGTTAAGAGTAATTTTATTTATAAACGTATCCACAAAAACTAATTTTAGCTCTGCTTCTATATAGTTTTGGTTTTATTTACCGAAATGTTTGTAATTCTGAATGGGCGGAGCGTAGAACGTCTCCACGAGGATGCCGTTTTCTGGTTCCATGTCCTTCAGGAGATGAACGACAGCCTCAACAATGCCAATGACGTCACTTCGAGCATGATACGTCACACCAAGACTCCCATGCCAAATAACTCCAGAAGGTTTAACCACAACCTGAGATTTCATGAAAGGAAAAGAAAAAAAATAAGTACACAAACTCGACTGCGCATGTCGACGTTAATGACGTAGTATGAAGGCGGCCTTACAACAATGTTGACGTAACGTGTTGTTCATTATTTTATTATGTATGCATGGCCGAATTGTTATATTCTTTGTTGGTAAATATCTGTACTGTTTAATTTGCACTGTATTTTAGTTTAAACATATTTTATTGCCAAGCAAATGGATTGGGCACAAGTTATCAAACTTATATTAAGCCCTTTCCTAGCAAATTA